CAGCGTGTCCCGTATCTTCCGCATCAGAGCATTATACGGTTGTAGGATACATTATTCTGAAGCGATCTTTCTAATAAAATTTTTTCGAAATGTTTATAATAACCGCACGGGAACTGTTTAAAGGAACTGTTTTTCGTCCAATCAGCAGATCGCAAATCAGACTCAGGTAATCGGTGCCACCCTCGGCCGGTCCGCTACGCCGATGATAACTCGTTTCCCACGTGTACTCACCAATAAATTCGTCATGGAAAGAGAAATAAACTTTTTCGATGAATCAAAGTTGTCCGTTATTGGTCGTCGTTAAACAGTTCCCGTGCGGTTATTATAAACATTTCGAAAAAATTTTATTAGAAAGATCGCTTCAGAATAATGTATTCTACAACCGCATAATGCTCTGATGCGGAAGATACGGGACACGCTGTATATATTATAAGTGATTATAAGGTGTAGTCGTGGACAAAAAAATATTACAGTTTAAGTAATTTCTTAGCGCCATCTAGCGGCGAATACATGTAACTAATAGAGAAATTTACAGTAATCTACAATTCGAGTTGAAAGTGCTGATTTTACTTTGATTTTATTAATACTAATTATTATATTATTTTTGTAATAAAATCGTGAGAAGTACACGTCAAATCGTGAGATTAAAGGTAATGTCATGAGAACCCAGCCCCAGGGATCTTAGATAGAAGAACTTGGGACTGATTGTATGTCGAAATCTACCGTAAGATGGCATTAGCATCTATACTGAAATAATTTAATTAAACCAACAATTTTATTATTAATAGTGGGAATGATGACAGACAGTAATAACAATTATTACCAGTATTATTCTTTTAATTTAAAAAGTAGAGATTCCAATTCGTGTTATATTTTTAAATTTGTCGCTAACTTTTTTCAGAATGACAGATGAAAACGTCATTTTAAAGTGTTTTTTTCGGTAAGAGTATAATGGTATGATTAAATAATTACATTATAATTGACATTAAAGCTTTGTTTCAGCTAATGTTATAAGTTGTTGGAAGCTCGTCAGATGCAATCTCACATGTCATATGATGCAGTGTGATATTAAAATGTGTGGCATTATTTGACAGGTGTAATTTCCATAAGTAATTGCATCTGAGGAATTGCCAACCAGTCGGAACGTTAATTGGCGCCACCATTAGTGGCTCCAAACACTTTCCAAACAGTTATTCTGTGGTTGGAGTTTTTATATATAAACCCAATCCAACCTATATTCTAGTGGTTCGGTTCTTAGCTGAATAATTCCGAAATATCCCCAACAGATGGCGCCACATGCGTTCAATTTTAATTTTTTTTTTCTTGTTTAGAGTGTTGCATTTCTACGAAGCTATTTTCTATGGTGAGACGTGGAAACCTTTGTTGACCACATCATTTACGTCAGTTCTTCTTCATAGGTCTTCATTTCGTATGTAGTCCCTCAGAGTTACACCCAGGATCGACCTCTACTTCTATCTTTGCGTTACTTGGACCCCCTAGCAGTGGCTACCGTTAATGTTCAAGTTTTGGAGCCGTATGTCATAACTGGAAACACGCATTGATTAAAGCCTTTCTTGGCCTTTTTTCTTGAAAATGTCTCTAAGCTTCCCGTAGGCTGCCCATACGAGTATGATCCTTCTGTTTAGTTCGTTTGTTTGATTATCTCTCGATACAAGAACCTCATAGCCAAGATATACATACCCTCTCAATCTCATCAACATTGGAGAGTTGTTGTTAGAGCTGGGAACAAGATTTGTCATAAATTTTGATTTCTCCTCGTTGATATTTAGCCCGATTCTTGTACACACCTCCTTTAAGTCCAAGGCTATCCGAAATAAGAACTACATCGTCCGCGTAGCGCAAATTATTTAGGCATTTGCCATGTTTATGCCTTTTTGGGTCTAATCCAGTTGTTTAAATGCACTCTTCAGGAATGTGATGAACAATTTGAGTTCAACAGTGTGTTACTCACAATCAGTACTTTACTACTTCAGTACTTTCTTGCAATTTTGCCGTCATTGTAGCATTCTTGTAGATGTTATAAATAAGTTTAGTATATTGATAATCAACTCTGCATTCTTAAAGTGCTCGCAAAACTGCCATGAACTCATTTTAAATTAAATTTTATAAATACGTCTAAACACCCATCTTTGGTACATACCACGGGGTATATATCCAGGAAATTTACCCTTCAAAATAAATAACCAGGTATTTAACAACAATGAACGCTATAGTTCATCTTCACCTCTGTTGTACTGTACATTATATACTTTTTTTTCACTTATAGCTATCAAAAACCGATTTCGCTGCAGTATGAACATCTTTTATCCACACCTAAACATTTTTTTACATCTTTTTCCCTAAACATTTTGTACATACATACAGGGTGTCTCAGCGAGACCGGTCATTAGACGTTTCTGGGGTTCTGGCCAAACAAAAAATTTGAGAATGCAGACATAAGTATTATCAATTACGTTCTCTTCATCTAAAATATTTTCATATTTCTAGCACTTCCGGTTATACCGGAANTTGTCAAAAAAGTCGTAAAGGTTAACTTGAATAAAAACATTCATTTTATACCGAAATAATGCAAAAAGAAGAAATTTTTGAAAGCACTATAAGTGATCGGCTGGTTTTATATGCAATTCTAGCATTTTTATGGGTCGAAACGTTGTGGGAACTCTACCTAGCGGCAAGACAGGTAATCTAACCTCGAAAATTTTTGTTTAGAAACGTTTAAGAGACGTACGGCTAAACCCAAATGTTTAGTTTATTGTTATTCCTAGTGACAATGCAAGTGTAAAACTAAAATTAACGCTATACCTAAAACTAGAATCATTTCTTTAGAGACGTACAACTAAACCCAAATGATTCTAGTTCTAGGTGTAGTGTTAGTTCTAGTTTTACACGACGATTTTAAATCGAGGTCACAAATCGATGTTGACGGCACAACATTAAAAGAATCGACGTCAGTGTCATTTTTGATTATTCTATGACAAAACTACATTTAGTAGGCAACCAACATAACATCTCCCTACGAATTAACATATATTTAGTGACTATTGTTATATTATAAAGAAAAAAATTAATAATAAGGAATAATAGTATAAACATTTAATCAATCTTAATTTAAATAATCGCATAATTTGAAATAAATTCGTTTATTAATTTAATACAATAAAGAGAAACTAGATGGCTCCTATTTCATTTAAAATTTGACATTTAGCAATCTTAATTTAAACAATCGCATTATTTTAAATAAATTAAATTCGTTTATTAATTGTTAAAGGTTTTGTACAAAACAAGGTGCCATCAACATCAAACGAATCGACGTCAGTGTCATTTTTGATTATTCTGTGGCAAAACTACATTTAGTAAGCAACCAACATAACATCTTCCTACAAATAAACATAATATTTGGTGAATATTGATATATCACAAAGAAAAAAATTAATAATGAATAATAATATTATTAAACATTAAATTAAATTCGTTTATTAATTTAATACAATAAAGAGAAACTAGATGGCTCCTATTTCATTTAAAATTTGACATTTAGCAATCTTAATTTAAACAATCCCATTATTTTAAATAAATAAAATTTATTAATTGTTAATGGTTTCATACATATATATATTAAATGAAACTTAACACATTATTTTTGCTAAAATCGATTTTTTATTCAAAATTCTACATCAAAAGATTTAGTACAAATTCATTTTTACTCGAACTTTTTAAGCGCCTTCATTCGCTCTAATAAAGGCGGGTGAGAATGATGCCAACTAGAGTACAAATCATCATAAACGGGGAATCCCAAATTATCCTTATTCAACTTAATCAAAGCCCTTTGAAGCGGCTCAGCTTTTTTCAATTTAGCGGCGAATTCATCAGCTTGAAACTCAAAGTGTCTACTTAAACACGTCATAATAAACGATAACAAAGAATTATAAGGGGTCATAACATAAGTGGAAATAACCATAAGTCCCACTAAAACCGGCTGACACCCCGCGGGGAATCCCAACGCTTGATAAACCGGCGAAAATTGAAACATAAAAGAAAAAAATACAAAAACAAACAATAAATGAAGTTGCATTATGACTAAATTTTTAATGATGTGCCCGTGACTCCAATGGCCCAATTCGTGACTCAAAACTGCGAGAATTTCGTCGTTTTTGCAACCGGAATCGTCATTTTGCAATAAAGTATCAAATAAAACGATGCGTTTTGATTTAAATAAACCGTAAAAATAAGCGTTACTATGCGAGGATCGTTTTGAACCTTCAACAACATATAATTGAGTCAATGGAAATTTTAAATCAGACGCTAACGTTTCAATATCAGCGCGTAATTCGCCTTCCGGTAGTGGAGTGTATTTATCAAACAAGGGGGCAATAAAAGCTGGGTAAATGGTGATCATTAATAAAGCGATAACTCCAACAACCAACCATAACCAAACGAAAAAGAATGGACCTCCGTATTTAATAATAACAATTGTTAAGGATGATAAGGGTAACGAAATGGCTTGTTGAAAAATAAACCATTTGATTTTATCAACAACGAAAAATTTAGGCGTTTGTTTGTTAAAACCATATTTTTCCTCCAACACAAAAGTATAAAAGATTGTAAATGGGAGGTCGATAATCGTAGAAATAGTTGTAAATAAAAATATCCAAATACAACTAATCAATACTTCTCCTTCCCATGGATTAATACTTTCAGAGTAACTCCATAACTTTGCCAAAACCCCGCAATAAATCATCATTGTAGTCACCGACAACGAAAAAATATCATGGATAAAATTAAATTTGCTTTTATCCAAAGAGTACAAACGCGCCTTATTAAACGTTTCCTTTGTCATAACAGATTCAAGCTCCGCGGGGACTTCTTCCGTTTTTAAACACTTGGAATACTAAAAATAATCGATTTAGATAAAGTTTTAAACAAAAATTTTTGAGGTTAAATCACCTGTCTTGCCGCTAGGTAGAGTTCCCATAACGTTTCGATCCATAAAAATGCTAGAATTGCGTATAAAACCGTCCGATCACTTATACTGCTTTCAAAAATTTCTTCTTTTTGCATTATTTCGGTATAAAAGAAATGTTTTTATTCAAGTTAACCTTTACGACTTTTTTGACAACGCTAAAATGTCAAATTTTAAATGAAATAGGAGCCATCTAGTTTCTTTTTATTGTATTAAATTAATAAACGAATTTAATTTATTTAAAATTATGCGAAATATTTAAATTGAGATTGATTAAATGTTTATATTATTCATTATTATTAATTTTTTCCTTTATTTTATATCAATATTCACTAAATATATGTTTATTCATAGGGAGATGTTATATTGGTTGCCTATTAAATGTAGTTTTGCCACAGAATAAGATTCTAGTTCTAGGTCTTCTAGGTATAGTGTTAGTTCTACACAGTAACAGTGCTAGATTAAAACTAGATCTAACACTAGAACTAGAATCATTCGGGTTTAGCCATAGTGAGAGACGTGCGGTTAAACCAGCCCGAGGGATCTTTGATAGGAGAACTTGGGACTAATTGTATGTCGAAATCCCACCGTAAGATGGCATTAGCGTCTATACTGAAATAATTTAATTAAATTAACAATTTTATTATTAATAATGGGAATGATGAGAGACAGCAATAACAATTATTACCAGTATCATTCTTTTAATTTAAAAAGTATAGATTCGTGTTATATTTTTAAATTTGCTGCTAACTTCAACTATTAAAATTTTAGAAGTTGAAGTTTGTTTAGAATGACAGATGAAAACGTCATTTTAAAGTGATTTTTCGGTAATAGTATAATAAAGTAATAATGGTATGATTAAATAATTAGATTATAATTGACATTATAGCTTAGTTTCAGCTAACGTTATAACTGGTTAGAAGCTCGTGAGATGCAATCTCACATGTCATATTATGATGCAGTGATATTCACTACGTGGCTCCCAACACTTTCTAAACAGTTATTCTGTGGTTGGAGCTTTTATATATAAACTCAATCCAACCTGTATTCTAGTGGTTCGGTTCTTAACTGAATAATTCCAAAATATCTCCAACAGATGGCGCCACATGCGTTCAATTTTTAGTACGAAGTTTTTGTTTAGAGAGTTGCAGTTCTACGAAGCTATTATCTATGGGTTAAACCAAAACTAACCAATCGCAAACGTTCTGTTTGGCGCTACAATTTGAAGACTCCTCGTAATTAAAAAAATAGAGTATAAGTAACTACTAGCACTTTACTTTATAAATCATTTATTAAAAGTAAGTTATAAAACTTTGTGAACATAACCTTAGCTAATGACAGTCATCGTTTCCAGTCTCTTACTACTAGATGGCGTAACCATATATGACAATTACGTTTTTAATATTTTTTTATTAATATAATTTAAAAATCATTCATATAATTAAATTAATTAATGTAATTATTACAACTACATTAATTAATTTATTAAAAATATTAATAAAAAAGTTTAATATTAACGCCAAAAATGGATTTGAGGTTAAAAATTTTAGTTGTATCGATTAAAAATAGATGGCGCTACTTCGATGACATTTCGCATTGTTTTTCTATTTCGTAATCAAATTAAATCCAAAGTAACCTAAAACTTGATGTCAAAATGGACAAAGAAACGATTTAAAATCATTAATAATCGTTGCGATTAATTAAAATAAGATGAGAGTAAGTAAGCAATAAAATTTCGTATAGATTTTGTTAATGATACATTTTTATGTAGGGCGATAATCGACCGAGTACGCTTTACGAAGCCCCACACGAAGATGATGGCCCCAATTTAAACTATTATTTCAACGGAAACGATGATCAAGTACAAATATTATCGACGTCCCGTAAAAAACCGTTTACTAAAGTCCAATATATTCCTATGGTTATACTCGGAGTTTTGACTATATTGATATTTTTCGTTCCGTTATTAGATCAGGTAGCACAAAATGCTTTGCACAAAGTTAATAATAAAATTAGAAACAATTCTTGTCCAGATACTTGTAGGTAAGATATAAAAAAAATTATAAAAAAACATTTTTTAATTTGTTTTTTTAGTTTTTCTTTAGTTGAAAGTATCCCTGATGGAGTTTTTTATAAAAATAATTCGCCGATTTTCCCCACAACGTTTGATACTTGGAAAAGTTTGATTGAAAATGCGCAAAAATCGATTGAGATAGGTTCGTTTTATTGGACTTTAAGGGGCGTTGATGTTATTCCACATCCAACAGCTAAACAGGTGATTAAAAATTATATTTTTAATTGTATCCTTGTTATTTNCGAATTTAATTTATTTAAAATTTTGCGATTATTTAAATTAAGATTGATTAAATGTTTATATCATTATTAATTTATTTGTTTATAATATATCAATATTCACTAAATATATGTTTATTCGTATGGAGATGTTATGTTGGTTGCCTACTAAATGTAGTTTTGCCACAGAATAATCAGAAATAAGACTGACGTCGATTCGTTTGATGTTGATGTCACCTCGTATTGTACAAAATCATTAACAATAATTAATAAACGAATTTAATTTATTTAAAATAATGCGATTGTTTAAATTAAGATTGCTAAAATGTCAAATTTTAAATGAAGTAGGAGCCATCTAGTTTCTTTTTATTGTATTAAGTTATTAAACGAATTTAATTTATTTAAAATTATGCGATTATTTAAATTAAGACTGATTAAATGTTTATATCATTATTAATTTATTTGTTTATAATATATCAATATTCATTAAATATATGTTTATTCCTATGGAGATGTTATGTTGGTTGCCTACTAAATGTAGTTTTGCCACAGAATAAAATGAACACTGACGTCGATTCGTTTGATATTGACGGCACTTCGTTTTGTACAAAATCATTAACAATTAATAAACGAATTTAATTTATTTAAAATTATGCGATTATTTAAATAAAGATTGTTTTAATGATTATACTATCATTCATTATTATTAATTAAAGTATCTTCTTTTTAATGCAAAAAGCTGTTTTGAAAAATCACTTTTAGTTCCTGAGAAATAAATTTTTGAAATAATCGACAATTTTCATTTTAATCATAAAAGTTGCAATTTTTTTTACAATTGAGGTTATAACCTAATTATGAGTTAATTGTCAAATATTGACAGCTAACTTCAGCTAACTCATTGGTTTTTAGTTTGTATAGGTTATGTACCATTAAAATGAAGATAAATTTGATTCAAAAATTATTGCAGATAATTAATTAATAACATTTTTAACAACTAATGTTTATTTTATTTTGAGGTTATAACTTAAATTATGAGTTGTCAAATTTTGACAGCTAATTTCTTTCTAATTTGTGTAGGTTATGAGATGTGAAATTAAAATGAGGATACATTTGATTCAAAAATTAATAAAGATAATCCATTAATAACATTTCTAACAACAAATGTTTATTTTATTTCAATTATTTATGTAAATGTCTTTGTAACAAATTGATTTAAAAACTTGACATAACAAAATTCCCTGTTAATCTTACCAACTGTAACTAACTTTACAATTTGACAGATTTAATCTCAAATTGTAAGCATGGTAATCATTTTTACAATAAAAAATGTCATAAATACCTTTATTGAAGACCATTTGTATTAATTAGTGAGCATCAACCACTAAAGATATTCTTTGTGTTAATTACAGTAATGTTAATTAACTAATCTGGCAAAAAAAAAATTAATTAAAAATTAAGAAAAAAATGTTTCAACATTTTATTTAATATTAATTTTAACATTGGATATTTAATAATTTATTTTAGTACCTAAAAATCACCCATTCATCTAAACTCTCCTAGAAATAAAAAAAACAATTTAAATTTCAAGTTAAAACTTTTCAGTTTGCTCTCTAATTGCGCAAAAAAATACAGAGGTAAAAATCTTTCGAAGGAAAAAAAATTTATATGCCTATGCCGTTCTTCTCGCTTTCGTATATTAATATTATTTACACTTTTATTTATTTATTTCATATACTTTAATTATATTTTAAACCATCGTCGTTTTCTTCTAATGGTTATTAAAAAACCAACTATATCCTGATGGAAGTCTTTAAATCCTCAACATCCGCCGTCGGATCCGTTGTCGAACCTTTCACATAAACCGGACCGTTTGAACCTAAAACGTACTCCTCCGTTATATGAACGCCACTTATTCCTGAACCGGGTATTTCAAACATTGGTTCTAACAACAACGACTCCTAAAAAATTAATTAATTAATTAATACGAATAATTCAAAAAGATACAAATTAATTTACTAAAATAGCCCTTAATCCTCTAGCTCCCGTTTTTCTTTCCATCGCTAATCTAGCAACGGCTTTCAACGCTTCTGGAGTGAACGTTAATTCGCATTGATCCATCGCCAATAATCTTTGATATTGCGGGATTAAAGCATTTTTTGGTTCCGTTAATATTCTAACGAGCATATTTTTATCTAAACTATGGAAAGGAACTAAAACGGGAAATCTTCCTACGAATTCCGGTATCATTCCAAAATCGATTAAATCTCTCGCTTGAACTTTCCTAAGCATTTGATCCTTTTCCCGATTTTCATCTTCAGCGGAAAGATCGCTTTGAGCTTGTTGAGAAACCGCTCTTCGACCTTCACTACCTCCAGAAGCGGGAGCTCCAAATCCAAAGAACTAAAAATATTAAATAATAATAAAATTAATTTATTATTATTAATTAAATTAAAAGGAAATTTACATTTGCGTTATGTCTACGCGATATTAACCGTTCCAAACCATTATAAGCACCGCTAGCAACAAAAAGGATATTTGTTGTATCAACTTGGATGGTTTCTCCGCGTAATTTTCTTGGGGAATTTCTTTCTGGTACATTAACAATCGTGCCTTCAAGCATTTTTAACATTCCTTGTTGAACTCCTTCACCTCCAACGTCTCTTAATTGATGAATACCGGGTACAGCACCAATCTTATCAACCTCATCCAAAAAGACAATTCCAATTTGAGCCCTATCGACGCTATATCCAGCATCTTGCAATAATTTCCCAATTACACTCTCGATATCTTCCCCTACATAACCGGCTTGCGTTAAAGTGGTGCAATCGCATATGGCAAAAGGAACATCTAAACATTGAGCTATTGTTTGTGCGAGTAAAGTTTTTCCTACCAAAAAATTAGTTTATTAATAAATTTTATTAATTTTTTTTTAATTTACCTGATCCTGTTGGGCCTAATAAGAGTATGTTACTCTTTTCTAATTTGAGATCGTGAGTTGTTCTGTCTAAAATATCAGAGCCGACGGCCGAAGATGATCTATTCATGTTTCCGGTTGAGTCCCCGCCTTGATTTTGGAGACTAAAACCCAGGTTGTTATGGCCCATTCCTGTTATATGGATGAGATCTGCACATTTTATATGTTCTCAGAAGAAATTATTTTTATTTTTCGTAAAAATTTTTAATTTGAGGTTATAACCTATAAATTATGAGTTAATTGTCAAATTTTGACAGCTAACTTCAGCTAATTCATTGGTTTTTAGTTTAAATAGGTTATTTGCAATTAAAATTAGAATAAATTTGAATCAAAAATTAATAAAGATAATTGATTAATAACATTTTTAACAATTAATCTTTATTTTACTTTGAGGTTATAACCTAAATTATTAATTATCAAATTTTGACAGCTAACTTCAGGTAACTTATTGGCTTTTAGTTTGTATAAGTTATGTGAAATTAAAATGAGGATAAATTTGATTCAAAAATTAATAAAGATAATTAATTAATAACATTTTTAACAATTAATGTTTATTTTATTTTAATTATTTGTGTAAATTAATTTAAAAACTTGACATAACAAAAATCCCTGCTAATTTTACCAACTGTCACTAACTTTATAATTTGACAGATTTAACCTCAAAATTACAAAGAAATCAATTAAGTTAATAAAAGGCACACGGTTATAAGCTAAATGTAAGCTAATTACTAATTATAGTAGAAGAAAAGGCAATGATGATGAAGAGGAGATAACCGGAATTTAATATAAATCATAAAGTGTTGGCTGAAGGAAGGAAAAATAATAGAAAAGAAAAGTTATCGAACTTATATTGTGTAATTTGATGATGGAACTAGATTTATGTATGTAGATCCTTCGAAAATGGATAAGAATAAATCAACATAGTGAAAATATATCAGAGGATGAGAAGAATTTGAAGTATCAATGAAAGTTTACTAACACCAAAAGAGAAAAATGAAGATAAAACAGAAAATGAGATAAATGTAATGGTAACCCCTAACTTACGTCGCTTTAAAAGAGTTATAAAGACACCACAAAAACTAGATTTGTAACAAAGGAGGAATTATGAATTATGTTATGTATTTAGATGGACACACACGCCCTCTACAATGTATGAAGCGTGCGTCAGAGGAGTGACTTGAAAACGTAAAAACTGTGTTATTAAAATACATAAGCGTTTTAATCGTAAAAATTACAACATTTTTAACAATTTGAGGTTATAACCTAAATTATGAGTTAATTGTCAAATATTGACAGCTAACTTCAGCTAACTGTTATGTGGAATTAAAATGAGGATAAATTTGATTCAAAAATTATTGAAGATAATTAATTAATAACATTTTTAACAATTAATGTTTATTTTATTTTAATTATTTGTGTAAGTATCTCTGTGATAAATTGATTTAAAAACTTGACATAACAAAAATCCCTGCTAATTTTACCAACTGTCACTAACTTTATAATTTGACAGATTTAACCTCAAAATTACAAAGAAATCAATTAAGTTAATAAAAGGCACACAATTATAAGCTAAATATAAGCTAATTATAGTAGAAGAAAAGGCAATGATGATGAAGAAGAGACAACCGGAATTTAATATAAATCATAAAGTGTTGGTTTTCATTAATTTATGTGAAAAATTGGGATATTGGAAGGAAGGAAAAATAATAGAAAAGAAAAATTATCGAACTTATATTGTGCAATTTGATGATGGAACTAGATTTGTGCATGTAGATCCTTCGAAAATGGATAAGAATAAATCAACATAGTGAAAATATATCAGAGGATGAGAAGAATTTGAAATATCAATGAAAGTTTATTAACACCAAAAGAGAAAAATGAAGATAAAACACAAAATGAGATAAATGTAATGGTAGCCCCTAACTTACGTCAATCTAAAAGAATTATAAAGGCACCACAAAAAGTAGATTTGTAACGAAGGAGGACTTATGAATTGTGTTATGTATTTAGAGAAACGCCCTCTACAATGTATGAAGGGTGTGTCAGAGGAGTGACTTGTAAAACTGTGTTATTAAAATACACAAGAGTTTTAATCGTAAAAATTACAACATTTTTAACAATTTGAGGTTATAACCTAAATTATGAGTTAATTGTCAAATATTGACAGCTAACTTCAGCTAACTCATCGGTTTTTAGTTTGTATAGGTTATGTGGAATTAAAATGAGGATAAATTTGATTCAAAAATTATTGAAGATAATTAATTAATAACATTTTTAACAATTAATGTTTATTTTATTTTAATTATTTGTGTAAGTATCTCTGTGATAAATTGATTTAAAAACTTGACATAACAAAAATCCCTGCTAATCTTACCAACTGTCACTAACTTTATAATTTTACAGATTTAACCTCAAAATTTCAAAGAAATCAATTAAGTTAATAAAAGGCACACAATTATAAGCTAAATGTAAGCTAATTATAGTAGAAGAAACGGTAATAATGATGAAGACGAGATAACTGGAATTTAATATAAATCATAAAGTGTTGGTTTTCATTAATTTAGGTGAAAAATTGGGATATTGGAAGGAAGGAAAAATAATAGAAAAGAAAAGTTATCGAACTTATATTGTGCAATTTGATGATGGAACTAGATTTATGCATGTAGATCCTTCGAAAATGGATAAGAATAAATCAACATAGTGAAAATATATCAGAGGATGAGAAGAATTTGAAATATCAATGAAAGTTTATTAACACCAAAAGAGAAAAATTAAGATAAAACACAAAATGAGATAAATGTAATGGTAGCCCCTAACTTACGTCAATCTAAAAGAATTATAAAAACACCACAAAAACTAGATTTGTAACGAAGGAGGAATTATGAATTGTGTTATGTATTTAGAGAAACGCCCTCTACAATGTATGAAGGGTGTGTCAGAGGAGTGACTTGTAAAACTGTATTATTAAAATACACAAGATTTTTAATCGTAAAAATTGCAAAATTTTTAACAAATTGAGGTTATAACCTAAATTATGAGTTAATTGTCACATATTGACAGCTAACTTCAGCTAACTCATCGGTTTTTAGTATGTATAGGTTATGTGTAATTAAAATGAGGATCAATTTGATTCAAAAATTATTGAAAATAATTAATAACATTTTTAACAATTAAAGTTTATTTTATTTTAATTATTTGTGTATTTAATCTCTCTGTGACAAATTGATTTAAAAATTTGACATAACAAAAATCCCTGCTAATTTTACCAACTGTCACTAACTTTATAATTTGACAGATTTAACCTCAAAATTACAAAGAAATCATTTAAGTTAATAAAAGGCACACAATTATAAGCTAAATGTAAGCTAACTATAGTAGAAGAAAAGGCAATGATAATGAAGAGGAGATAACTGGAATTTAATATAAATCATAAAGTGTTGGTTTTCATTAATTTAGGTGAAAAATTGGGACATTGGAAGGAAGGAAAAATAATAGAAAAGAAAAGTTATCGAACTTATATTGTGCAATTTGATGATGGAACTAGATTTATGCATGTAGATCCTTCGAAAATGGATAAGAATAAATCAACATAGTGAAAATATATCAGAGGATGAGAAGAATTTGAAATATCAATGAAAGTTTATTAACACCAAAAGAGAAAAATTAAGATAAAACACGAAATGACATAAATGTAATGGTAGCCCCTAACTTACGTCAATCTAAAAGAATTATAAAAACACCACAAAAACTAGATTTGTAAGGAAGGAGGAATTATGAATTATGTTATGTATTTAGAGAGACGCACTCTACAATGTATGAAACGTGCGTCAGAGGAGTGACTTGTAAATCTGTGTTATTAAAATACACAACAGTTTTAATCACAAAAATTGTAAAATTTTTAACAATTTGAGGTTATAACCTAAATTATGAGTTAATTGTCAAATATTGACAGCTAACTTCAGCTAACTGTTATGTGTAATTAAAATGAGGATAAATTTGATTCAAAAATTATTGAAGATAATTAATTAATAACATTTTTAACAATTAATGTTTATTTTATTTTAATTATTCGTGTAAATCTCTGTGACAAATTGATTTAAAAACTTGACATAACAAAATTTCCTGTCAATCTTACCAACTGTTATTAACTTTACAATTTGACAGATTTAGCCTCAAAATTACAAAAAAATCAATTAAATTAATAAATGGCACACAATGATAAAAATAATTGTATAAAACATTATCTAGCGCAAACTGCTTTAAAAGATGATGTCATACTTGTATTCCATAAAGCTTAATCAGTTCCTATATCACATCGAATAGGCAAGTCCGATCGTTCTTGTTGAGAAGAAATCTACAAATAATGAAGAGAAAAAAATTCGTCTTTGTGTTCATTTTAAGAAGACTCTAAATCCTAATGTGAAGAAAGACCATTATCCATTACCCTTAATGGAATGAGTTTAACCTAATTGTAAGAAATATTTGACTTGTTTGAATATATTGACTAAAATGACTACCATTTGGTGTCATTTCAGCACCACGTATATTTCAATCCATTATGGATCAGATTTTAAAAGATATACCGATGACGATTAGATGAATTGAAGAAAAATGTAGGTACTGTGTGCAAACAACTTGAGAATTATAATGTAATCATCAACTATGAAAAGAGTCAATTCAATAAAATGTGGATTGAGTTCCTAGATTATAAAATAGATGCTTCACCCTGTAGAAAATAAAATAGTTACGCTCTTATTTGGAATCTTTAAACTATTATCATAAGTTCATTTCAAACGCTTCAACTCTATTACAACCACTATATTATTATGATAAGAAAGAATATTTCTTTTCACTGGAGTAAGGAATGTCAGACAGCATTTGACAAAAGTAAACATCTAGTCTAATGCTACACTTGATTATTTTAATCCTAAATGTCAAATTGTTGAAGGTGTAGAAAGGCAAGTTATGTTTGTTTCTAGAACCTTGTCTGATACTGAACAGAACTACGTTGAAGCTCAAAAGGAAGTATTGGCAATCATGTATATAGTACAAAAAAGTCATAAATCCTCAAATAAATATTATCAAGGAAGTTGACATAAATATTTTGGGTGCACATTTCCCAATTACAACAAAAGATATCGCTTGTAACA